TGTCTGGGTTTCCTTGGGTCATTCTACTTTTCTCCGTGTTCGCTGCACCATCCACACTCCCCAAGTTCCAACTACCATGTTCAAGCCTCGTCAAATCGCTAAGCAATTCGTAGCTCGCGAACAAAGCGAAGGTGCCGGTGCTCGCGTCTATCGCTCCATCGGTCCATCTCAACTGCGCACTCTCGACCCATTCCTCATGCTGGACGAAGCGAGCGTTGGACTTCCCGGCGGCTTTCCGGCGCACCCACATCGTGGATTTGAGACCGTGTCCTACATGCTCCCCACGTCTAAGGGCAACTTTCAACACGAAGATTTTTTGGGCAATGAAGGCGAACTGCGACCTGGTGATCTGCAGTGGATGACGGTTGGACGAGGGATTATGCACTCGGAAATGCCAAAGAGTCACGACCCGGCGCACGGTCACCAGCTATGGGTCAACCTTCCAAAGCACCGTAAAATGATCCAGCCCCGCTACCAAGACGTCCCACGTGAGTCGGTGCCGCATGCTTTCAACGACGACAAGAGTGTCGAGGCTCTTGTCTTTGCCGGCGAAGTGTTCGGTTTGCGAGGTCCCATTGAAACGGAGGCACCAGTTACGTACGTACACTTTATGTTGGCCGCAGGAGCCAAGCTCGAGTACCCGATTCCGTCAACGCACAACGCGCTTGTATACGCTATCAGTGGTAGGGGCCAATGTGTTGGAGCTTCCATCCAGCCACACGAGGCGATCGTGATGGAGAAGGACGGAGATGGTGTGGTACTGACGGCAGCCGAGAAGGACAAGCTGGAGGTGATCGTGATGACTGGCGAACCTCTCAATGAGCCTGTCGTTCAGCATGTTCCATTCGTGATGAACTCAATCGAGGGATTAAAACAAACTTTTGAGGATTTCCAACAAGCAAAGAATGGATTCGAAAACGCGCGTTCGTGGGAGCCTAAAACCCAACGACGTCGCTAGAAAATCAATTGATGGGAAAAGGGTGACGAACTAATGACAAGATGGAGTGTGTCTTCAAATTTCTTATTCATCGATTTTCGATAACCTAGTGCTATCGATTTTCCTAGCATACAGTATAGAGCAAAGCGATGACAAGCACCATCACCACTAAAGTCTTGACATCATTCTCGCTACAGCCCTCTTGTCGGTTAACGACGGCGGTTGCCAATCTCCGAGGCCCACGAGTGCGCTTTCTCGAATCCGTTTTTAGCCAGTTGGAAATCTTCAAAAGTCTGACGGATCTCGTCCTCTGTGCTCATGACGAAGGGTCCGTACTGCACCACCGACTCTTCCAGTGGCTGCCCCGTCATGACAATCACCTCGAGGCTTTCGTTGTCGTCTGCCTGCAACAGCGCACCGTCACCCTTCATCTCGAGCACAATGGCTTCGTGGGGCTCGATCGAGTGCTCCACGCACTTGCCCGTGCCGGACACCGCGTACACGAAGACGTGGTGACTCTCGGGGATCGGGTACTCGAGCTTGGCTCCTTTTTGCAACATAAAGTGCACGTAGGTGACTGGAGCTACAGTTTCAATGGGACCACGCTTCCCGAAGACTTCCCCGGCAAAGACGATGGCCTCGATGCTCTTGTCGTCGTTGAAGGCGTGCGGGACGGTGTCTCGACTGATCTCCTGGTATTTAGGCTCCACCATGCGACTCTTACTGGGCAGGTTGATCCAGAGCTGCAGTCCGTGTGCCGGCACCTCGCTCTTGGGCATCTCGGCGTGCATGATGCCCTTTCCTGGGGTCATCCACTGCAGGTCTCCGGGACGCAGCTCGCCCTTGTTGCCTAGAAAGTCTTCGTGGCACATGTGGCCCTTGGACGTGGGCAAAACGTACGTGACGGTCTCGAAGCCTCTGTGCGGATGGTCCGGGAAGCCACCGGGGAGACCCACGTTGAACTCGTCCAACATGAGGAACGGGTCGAGGTTGCGCAGCCGAGTGGTGCCGATGGATCGGTGCACACGCGCGCCGGCACCTTCACCTTGTTCGCGAGCGACGAACTTCTTGGCGATGAGGCGAGGATTGAACATCTTTTTGGCGGTGGATCGGAGAGAACTCGTGGTTGCTGGTTGGCTACTTGAGCACTGGAAGGT